GGTGTTCCCACCACCACTTTGCAGATCACCAAGTTTTGAGAGACAGGGAACTGTCAACCTTGCAGCTGGTACCAGGTAACCAGAAATCCCAGGGTGCTGACTGTAAGGGTGCAGATTGCAGCCTGCTGGGACTTCTGTTCAATCAAGGCTGGGGGCCATCTCTAAAATGTGTTAGTCAATCTGCTTTTTATTGGGGTAAATACATAGGAAACACAACTTTTGCCATTGCAACAATCTTCCCATGTAAATGTCAGTGACATTAAAAATGTTCATCATGTTGTTCAGCCATCACCATTCTGGAATTTTTCCATCATCCCGAACAGAAGCTCAGTGTCTCCTAAGCATTGGGTCTTTCTTTCCCTTGCCTCCAGCCCTTGCAACTACTGATAAACTTTGGTCCCTCTATACTTGTCTGTTCTAGATATCTCATATAAATGGGATCACATAATATTTATCCTTCTGTGACTACTTACTTAATCTCAGCATAATGTTTTCAAGGTAGTCAATCTATTTTTAATTTCACCCAACAGAGCTAATTTTAAAGAAAATTGAAGATATCTTAGCATAATCCTACAATTTTTAAAAAAAGTTATTTTGTTTTTGCAGTGTTCTCTCCCCTCCCCTCTCACCCCTGGTAGGTAACAAAGAAACTTTCCTTCCATATATAAACCTTCCCTTGACTTTTCACAACAACAGACTAATACAATATTTGTCCTTCTGTGATTGACTTATTTCACTCAGCATATTGTCCTCCAAGTTCATCTACATTATGTGTTTTGCAGATCTTACATTATTCTTTTTTAAGTACATTTTAATGAAATATAATTTATGCACAGTGAAATACACAAAGCTAAAGTAACATGGGTCAATACATTTTAAAAAAACTTTTTGCAGTGTTCCTTCCCCTCCCCTCCCATCCCTGGTAACCAAAAAAGAAAGTTCCCTTCTATATATAAACCTTCCTTTGACTTTTCACAACAGCGGACTAATATAATATTTTTCCTTCTGTGGTTGACTTATTTCACTCAGCATAATGTTCTCCAAGTTCATCTAACTTATGTGGTGAAATGCTAAGATATCTTTAATTTTCTTTAAAATTAGCTCTCTTGGGTGAAATAGATAAAATATATATCTATATTATTCTTTAGTGTTGCGTAGTATTCCGTTTTACATATGTACCATACTTTGGCTATCCATTGTTCTGTTAATGGGCGGCACATAGGCTGTTTCCATCTTTTTGCTATTGTCAATAGTGCTACAATGAACATGGATGTGTATATATCTGTTTTTGTCCTGGCTCTCACTTCTGTAGGATATATACCTAGTAATGGAATGGCTGGATCAAATGCTATTTCTAATCCCAACTTTTTAAGAAATTGTCATACTGTTTTCCACAGTAGTTATATCATTTTACAGTTCCACCAGTAGTGTATGAAAGTCCTAATCTCTCCATATCCTTGCCAGCATTTGTTACTTTCTGTCTTCTAACTAATGTCTATTAGTGCTGGGACCTGATGGTATCTCATTGTTGTTTTGATTTGCATCTCTCTAATGGGAGCTCTGGAGCTCTGGTAGCACAGTAGCTAAGACACTTGCCTGCTAACCAGAGGGCTGGCGGTTCAAACCCACCAGCCACTCCTCGGAAGGAAGGTTGGGCAATCCTACTTCCGTAGTGATACTGCCTCGGAAACCCAAGGAGGGGTC